CCATCAAACCGAGGTGTCGCCGCCTATTCAGCCCCTGGTCGGACCTTGCTTTTCTACGGGCCGGGGTGCCCTTAGAACAAGTGTCACGACAGATGCCTCCAATACGGGCTGGGGCGCTACGTGCATCTAGCTTTGCGGCAGTTCTGGCCTCTGCTGCTGGACAAGCACGTGTTGGTCCGCACGGACAACACTGCGGCTGTTTCGTACATCAACCGACAGTATCCCCTTTGGTACCAAGGTCAGTGAATTTACGCTGGGGCTTTGGGAAGGTTACGACCTTAGCGTAGCTTTTGTGACACGCTATGGCTTGTCAACAATTGCAGCGCCACAGTGTTGTGACGGTGTTCAGGTTGTGGCGTTTTCCATGGACCCCATATGTCGTTCGACATAACTCGTAGTGACCGACAGATAGGGAACGTCTCGGTTACGTATGTAACCCTTGTTCCCTGATGGAGGGAACGGAGACGTTATGTCCCTATGCCACAACCTTGAACTATTCGCTGTTGCCGGGACACGTCCTCAGCGTAAAAACCTGATGAGTGGATGCGCACTTTCGCCTTATATACCCGTAGGCACAGGGAGTGGCTCAGCATGCAAAATCCACTAGCCAATTCTCATTGGCGTTTTCTCTTAAACTCAGAAATGATTGGCCACCCAAGTGAGACCCCATATGCTCTGCTATTCTCTCGCTCCGTCTCACACTGATAGATCTGAACATCTTCTTGAGAGACGTAAGCGTTGGAGCCCCAAACCACCATCTTCTGAACGAGTGCGGGGTTTAACGTAGCCGCGATCAGAGCCGTGATGCCGCCGTCACTCCAGCCTAAGAGAGAGAAACGCCTCAAACCCAGAGCCTGCCAGAGAGGATTTAAACCAGCAAAAAGGAACGGTAATAATGAAAATAATCATGAAAAAATATTTCTTTAACTATTTAAATACATTTGAATAAATTTAATTTATTTTATTTTATTTTAAATAAATAAATAGATACATAAATAAATAAATACTATGCTAGCCATGGTACTCAATTTAGTATCATAGTGGTTTATGGGTCAAATGAGGATGTCAGAGATGATGGAAAGAAATATATTTTTAAAATCTTTTGTAAAACACATTTCATACATTTTTGAGCCACTATGATATTTCATTCTGGATTATTATTATTATTGTTATTATCTTTTTATATATTATTATTGCTTCACTGCTCTTTTAAAAAATAAACAAACATATAAATATAATAATAAAATAATATAAAATGAATGAATAAATAAATAAATAAATTCATTAATTGTCTTTCTTCATTACAATCTCAGGGTAGCCACACCACCACATTTTTTTTTACTTTTAAAATTATTTAAATTAAAAATATTAATTTAAAATAAAAATATAATTTAATAATTGAAAATAAAATAAAATAATAATAAATTAATAATAAATAAAATATATGCACAAATTTTAATTACTTTTAATTCAGAAATTGAAAACATGTATTTGTGTATTTGATTCATTATGAACTGCATTTTGAAAATATTTCAACAAATTAATGAGTGCTACATACTTTAATTGACAGCACAGTATCTCTATCTGATGCTTTGACATATCATTAAACATCAATATTTTGTCACTGCTTGATATTTAACTCTTTCCTGTCATACTTGCATTAAATCCACCGCGTCTTTGGCGTCTCTGTGGAAAAAATCAGGGGGAAAGTCTCTGTCTGGAGGACGAGAGCATCCGTAACCACGCGGGTCCAGCGCCACCAGCGTGAAACGCTGCTTATCCAGCTTCTCCAGCTGAGGAGCAAAATCAGTCTGAGCATTTCCTGTCAACACAGGAAATGGAAAATGACCTAATCTGCCTTAACGGATTCCTGCTTTAATGAATACACTACCAGACAAACGCTAGTGTATTGTTAACTAAAATGACAAATAAAACACTTACAATTTACAATAAGCTTCTGTTTGTTAACATTAGTTAACAATAAAAACTACTTCTAAAGCATTTATTAATCATTTATTTTAAAAACTAACATTAACTAAGATTAATAAATAATGTAATAATTGTACTGCTCATCGTTATTTAATATTTATTAAAGCAGTGACTTAACTATTGGGACCGCATTGTGAAGTGTTACCACTAAAATGATTAAAAATATTTTAAGAAATAAAGATGTTAAATATTTTAAGAAATAGAAATAAAGCTTAAAAATAAAATATAAATATTAGATAATAAATCTAAAACACTTTAATGAAAATCTGAAGAGCTGCTTTAGCAACTAACTGAAATAAAATAAATTGAAGTACTAAAATGACTAAAGTTAAATAAAAAATGACGAAAGCACAAATTAACTAAAAATAAATTAAACTAAATTTAATTAATTGAAAATATAAAGATAAAGGTTAATACAAAATATTAATAAATACTAACTAAGTAGACATTTAAAAAAAACAAGTAAAAATGACAAAAACTTTAAAGCTAAAACGAAAAAAAAAAAAAATCAAAAATATTAACAAATAATAAGATAGTAAATATATATAAAAAAATCTGTCTATCTATCTATCTATCCATCTATCTATCTAATAAAAATACTGCAATTTTAATTGTTTTGTTTTGTTCATTTCAGGCACTGGAATCAGATTATTTACTCATTTATAGATCTAATAATAATAATAATAATACTTTTTTTGTTGCTGTTGTTATTATTATTATTATTCTATAAGACTGAAACTTTCAGTTTTGTACATGAATTAATTTTCCAGCATCATTAGAAACATAAATGCAATCAAATGTGTGCTGACTTTAAAGGGGTCATATGATGCGATTTCAAGTTTTCCTTTCTTCATGAGATCAGACCTAAAGCTCCAGGCAGCAGCAGTACAGTGTGTTTTCCGCCTCCAGTGCGCTGATAGAGCAGATCCACTCCATTCACTGACATCTGACCCGAGACACACAGACTGCACAAGAGAGAAGAAGAATGAAGAAACACAAACAAAACTTCATCTGCATTCCATGAACTCGCGAACTAACGGTTTACCCGTAGAATCGTCTTCTGTAGACTCCAGACATGCAGAGTCCAGCTCGACTGTAAAGGAGGTTCACCATTTGAGCAGAAACACCCGAACACCCGAAACTGAAGTAAACACACCCGAATCAGATCGGACGCTTTATGGAGAAAATGCGAGTGTGTGTAGAATGAATCTTCGATTTCACCTTCTGCAGATTCCACACAAAAGGACAACGAACACCGAGAGGGAATGCCAATATTTTTTCCTGTGTTTATATAAAATATCGCTGTGATTTTATTAACAGTAGATGAGAAGATAATCTGATTTCAGCACCTGAAATGAACAAAACCAAACTATTATAATTGCAGTAGGCTATTATTATAGTGATTCACTGCTTCGAAGCGCTCCAATCGGATCGCGAATCGTGAATCATTTGATTCAGATCGGAACTTCTGAGTACGTATCGCGAATTTTTTTTCTGATTTTTTTTATTTTTTATTAAACAGTACAAAACATCAAATCATTTCGGTAATACAGTTAAAAAAAACAAAGAAAAAATAAAAGGAATAAAGAAAAAAGAAAGAAAGAATACACAGATACAAATCCCTTAAAGGTGACATATCATGAAAATCTGACTTTTCCAGGTTTTAAGTGCTATAATCAGGTCCCCGGTGCATCTACCAACCAAGGAAACGTGAAAAAGATTAACCCAGTAACTTTGTTTTGGGAAGCCTTTTTCTGCAAGCGTCTGAGAAAACGACTAGGAACACCAGAGACTTATATTACATATTGTAAAAAGGGGCTAATATGTCTCCTTTAAGAAAATTAACCATGGTTTTATTAAAACAAAAGTGTACTAACCATGTTTCTTTTTCTGTATAACCACAGTTTTACTACAAATACCATGGTTATACTATGGTTAATGTCGCAAAACCATGGTTAATTTGTGGTTACCATGGTTTAACTACTATATATGTAACCATGTTTTTTTTTAACCTTAAGAGGACACATGAATACAGAAATGCAGTTTTGACTGCTTTAGGATTAACAGAACTCTGTATAGCTGCATGTACTCGTCTAGATCAACTCTGAGTAAAGAAAAGAGAGATTTAGAGACAGATTTTTGTTTATTTACGTGCAGTTTAGCTAGCAGGACACACAAATTAATTGAGTTATATTTTCCTATAAAACAGAACGAAATCTTTATCTTTAAAACAGAAAGAAAAGTCACTTACAAAATGAGATCTGATGAACATGAATAAATCTGACCAGAATGTCTCTGTGTACAAAACAAGTGAATGAATCTTCCTCAGAAGAGACTAAAACAACAGCTCACCTCAGTGTCTGACTTATATTACAATCACATCCATAAGCTTTTGCTGAAATTTGGATGAACTCATGAATCTGTTGCTATGACATGTTCCTACAAATATCCAGAGACTAATAAAACCTACACCCTTGGTATATATATATATATATATATATATATAGTATATGATAGATAAAATTCACAATACATGTAAAAGAAAAGACAAAAAACAAGACCGAGTTGAGGGAAGAAGTTTAACTGGTGAATGTTTGTATTCTTCTGGTTAAGAATTTTATATGAAATCTGATTAGAATAACAGACTGAAGGTATTTATCTTAGCAGGGAAAATATGTTTAACCACAGGTTTCATGGGCTATAAAGACATGATGACAAAAGCAAATTGAATGATCCAGACGTTTCCATTGTGAGTACATCAGGCTGTAAATGTAAAAAAAAAATAGCAAATAGTTTATTTTTCACTGTTGCTATGTTTGCAGTATTAGGAGCGCATCTTGAATCAGACTTTCTTTGAGGCACGCATGTGAAAGCACAGCTAAAGCTCTGGAAAAGTCGATAAGAGGGTTTCACTTCCCAGTGGCTCAAGCCCGCAGCGTCACGCTGGTCTGTGCTGGGTTTCATTAACCATCATCTGCTGAACATGCACGCTCACGTCTGTCCGCAGGTGCTGGGATCTGAGGGGCCGCCCCTGATCGAGCCTCTGGCCCCTTCAGCGTCCCCTGAGAGTGATCATTCACGGACAGGACAGAGGAATGTTTACATCTGTGTGTAGAAGTGCATGTATAGCAGCGAGTGCATGGGGAATTGAAGGGGATTTTTGTGATATTTTCACAATCTCCAATATGAATAACAACCTGACACGACAACATCAGCCCTGTAATAAGAGCTTCGCATCCAAAGTGCTGCAGAACACTCGTGAAATGCTTCTATTTTGCATCCTTTTCTAATTGAATCCAACATTTACAGGTTTTCAGCACAACAAGTTAAATGAAACGCAGAAAAGATTTTTCGTCCGGCCATGCAGGATTTCTCAATTAACAATATTTTTCTTGGTTGTCATGCACAACCTTGTGCTAAAATAATACATTTGTATATTCTTACATTGTTATTTGCACTTCTGGTTGGATGCTTCTGTATTTAACTGGCTTTGTACTGTAGCCAGTGAAGCCAATAAAGAAACATGAATGTGAGAATGTTTTGTTCTGTTTATTTTCCAGGTATATCGCAGATTTTCAGCACGTTTTGCACTGTTTACACAAAATAAAACATATTTAAATCATTTATCCCATGTGTAAATGTAATATATGTCATATATTGCCTCATATCAAGAGTGATATTGCCATATATATGTCAATATATAATTTTCACATACTTACACAAGTTTATAACGTGTATATGTTAATATCTATATTATGATTTTTTTTTTAATTAGCCTATTTTTTATGGTATTGTATGCTGCAACCATATGTGAACAATATAGCCTATGCTTACTTATGCAACTTTATTAATACAATGTTTATACAAAAATATGTGTTTATATATATATTACTCATATAATATAAAAATGGACAGGTTTTAGGATGGATATACATGTGCATGACATATGTACAAAAACATGTTTCATAAACATATATTTACATAGGCTAGATATATATGACAATATATTTCATACATGGCAATTTAATATATTAGGATATTTAGATAATCATTTGAGGGAAAAGTGGTTAGTACATTGTAGTCTGTAGAAAACATATTAAAGTATAAGGCCTCTGTATAGTGCATTATGCTGTGGTTTCTTTGAGAATGCATAAAATAATTTTCACTTAATAACCTGATGTTGAGTTATAAACTCCAACTGACATCCAATGCATGCACTTGAATTCATTAAATGAAGTCTTGATTTGATTTGATTGTGTTTAATCTGCCTCTAAAGGCCCAATTGAAGGCCAAACCCCAAACTCAGCCCTGAGAACATCTGTCCGAGGTACACAGCTTCTGCAGCTTCCTCTAGCACAGCATATTTGATTAGGACATTTACTGTTTCTTGCTTTTGGGACAAGGTGTTGAACTCTTTTAGCAACTTTTGGTTTTCCGGTTTTTCTTTCAGTTCAAATGAGAAAAGCCTGTGTGTGTTTTTTTGGCATGTGTGAAAGAATATGGCAGCAGCTGTTGCTGGATTTGAGGACAGAGGGGGGCAAAGGGCTCTGTTGCCGGGCAAAACGGACGAATTTAGCAACTCAACCTGTTGACATTGCAATCTCTTGGTTTGCAGCAGGTCTGATGGCACACTAGTGAGAGTTCACCTGGTCAAGTGCACACTGCTGTTTGTGCACTTAAATCAGTGCCACAGGCCTGGCAGGGGTGGTTTGGCTCAGTAGGTGTGATGTGTAGGTCAAATTAGGTCCCAGAATGCACATATGACTGTTTTATGAACATACATGAATCACATAATCAATGATGGACATGCAGAAATGAAAAAATTTTCATAGATTTTGATCTTCACTCTTAAAAATAATGGCTCCGAAATGGGTTTTCACAGCAATGCCGTAGAAGGACCATTTTTTTTGTTTAATAAATGATGCATTGAATCCCTTAGTAAGTACCAGCACTAGAAGGAAGAGGAATATTAGGCTGGAGAAAGACCAAATCTCTCCAATATACAGTAGTGATTTTCATAGAGATGATATAGAAGAACCACTTTTGGTTCTTCAAAGAACCTTTCAGTGAACAATTCTTAAAAGAACCTTTTTTCTGACAATCTTGAGAACTTTCTCAAGATTCTCGAGTTCTTCATGAAACCATCAAACACTCTTAAAGGGTCTTTATTGGCTTTGATGTTTCCATGAAGAACGTTTAACATCCACGGAAGCTTTACATTCCACAAAAGGTTCTTCACACTAAGAAAAATGATTCTACTAAGAACTGTTCACTGAAAGGTTCTTTTGAGAAGCAAAAATGGTTTTTCTACGGCATCGCTATGAAAAATGCTAAAAAAAAACAGGTTCCAAAGTGTATTTTTTTGCAGTGATACCATAGATGAACCATTTTTGGTTCCCCAAAGAACCTCTCAATGAACAGTTCTTAAAATAAACATTTTTACTAAACTAAAGAATGTTTTCCACTATAAAGAACCTTTTGTGGATTGGAAATGATCCATGTATGTTAAAGGTTCTTCATGGAACCAACATTTCCAAAAAAAGAACCTTTCGTTTTAAGAGTGTTTGATGGTTCCTTGAAGAATTGGAATGGAAGAATGGAATCTTTACATTCCATAAAAGGTTCTTCAGAACGTTCTTCACACACTCTTAAAAAAGATTCCAAAATGTAGTTTTCGCAGCGTCACCATGGAAGAACCATTTTGGGTTCCCCAAAGAACTTTTCAGTAAACAGATCTTAGAAGAACCATGGTTTTCTTTCTTTTTAATAATCAATTTTTCACTGTGAAGAATTTTGTAGAATGGAAAGGTTCCATGGATGTTAAAGGTTCTTCTTGGAACCATCAATGCCAATAAAGAACCTTTATTTTTAACAAAAAAATGGTTCTTCTAAGAACTGTTCACTGAAAGGTTCTTTGGAGAACCAAAAATGGTTCTTCTATAGCATCTCTTTGAAAAACGCTAGTTTATTTTTTTTCGAGATTTTCAAGATTTTCGTGTCTTTCTCCTCCTCCTTCTGATCTAGTTAGTGCTGGTAGTTACTAAGCGCTAAGAAAAATGGTTCTACTAAGAACTGTTCACTGAAAGGTTCTTTTGAGAAGCAAAAATGGTTTTTCTACGGCATCGCTATGAAAAATGCTAAAAAAAAAAGGTTCCAAAGTGTATTTTTTT